TACTTTTTTAAGGTGCACTTATGAGAGTGTTAAGTGAATAAGTCCCACCACAAAGAACTGATACGGTATTGAATAATTAGCATGTCTTAGTAGGTTTATAACTCATTAGTTTGAATTTTTATGCGAAGGGTGGGTGAGTTGGATATGTTTATGTTATTGAACTCATCGACTTAAGATTATATAGGACATAGGCATCATAGTTCTTCTAAAACGCCTGAGCATCGCATTGGATGGAACGGATGCAGCTCATTATCGCATTATTCAACATCAAAAAGTCAAATTCAACGAAATTAACAAGAAAATAATAGATTTATAAATAGAAGTCAACTCTGTCCTTGTTTTTCCCCTGCTAGCTGGCCAGGATGATGTCAATTGGAATACATTATTTAGTGATGTTTAACGAAGTCGTCCCCCGAATTGACCGAAAACCTCGTAGCCATGATTTAGTTTACGTGAGTTATTACCGTCTTAGATGACATCGCCGCATCAAGCGCTTTGTTTGAATAAGATCGCCATTTTGTAACTTGTTAAGGTCATCGTCATGAACTTCGTTTTTGAGGCCCTCGTCTCCTTCACATCTTGACATTTTAGGACAAGAAGCAATATAAAATGAAAAAAAAAAAAAGCAAACAAAAACCGACAAGTAATGCATTCCAAAGGAGACGTGCTGAAGAAATTTCAGTTGTGCCAACCCTTGCCAAGTTCAACTTTCATGTCGGCGGACTCATGCAATATCACAAATTTGTTTATGATTATATAAAGTGATAAGTATACTGAAAATCTTAAAACTTGTCATGAAAGTGTAATTGACTCTTAAAACTTTCAAAAAGTGAAATTTAGTCTTAAAATTTCTCAAAAAATGCAATTTAGTTTCGAAATTTTTTAAAAAGTGTAATGAAGTCCTAAAACTTGTTAACATTTTCAGTTTGTGAAGTTAGATGGAGTTAATAAAAGAATTTGATTTTTGGTTTTGCGAATCTAGCATTTAGAGATTTGGGAGTAGGAGTTTGGGTTTGGTGATCTTGAATTCGGGTTTCTTCGGCTTTTTCAAGAAGTGGGTCTTTGAAATTTTTGGTCACGAGGTTTTGCCTTGCAATGCAAGGTAAGTAAAAGTGGTAACTCGATGAACCAGCTAGGATTTACCAAGTTCTTCTAGCATCATGAAGTACATACAATATTTATTGCAGTCTAGCAGTCAATTGGGAACGACCATTCACAAAGAATTAATGTCATGGCGTACCTTGATGTAACTCCTTGCTGCGATTAGACTTTCTCACTCTTGGCAATCTCATTGACCAATCAATGTTCTGTTTCTTTATTTTATCTTTTTTTGTCGATATTTATAAAGAGTTGACCAAATGATCATCTTAGCATCTGCGGCAGTTGGCCCCAAACTTGGTAAAGGTTGAGGAGTTCGATGAATTGAATGTGGTTGGTGTGGTTTATTGTGCACATTATTGTCGTTCGAAAATGACATCTCTCTTTTATTGATGCAAAATGTATAAAAAAAATAGGGAAAAAACCACCAAAAACCCCAAACTTTACCATCTGTGACACATTTACCCCGAACTTTTTTTTGTGACACCAAAAACCTCGAACTTTGCTTTTTGTGACACATTTACCCCAATATATTTAGTCCATGGGCATTTTCGTCTTTTTTGCTTTTTCTTTTTTTTTCCTTTCCGGTGAGGGGGGGCCTCGCCGGCGTTGGGCGAGGGCTGCCCATCGCCGGATCCGGCGAGGGGGGCCCTCGCCGGCGTCGAGCGAGGGTCGTCCTTGCCCGATCCGGCGAGGCCGCCTCGCCGGCGTCGGGCGGCGCCGCCTCGCTCGCCCGAGCAAGGGCGACCCTCGCCGGCAGCCGGCGGCCGCCTCGCCCGACGCCGGCGAGGGCCGCCCTCGCCGGCGCCGGCGAGGGCCGCCCTCGCCGGATGCGCGAGGGCCGCCCTCGCTCGACGCCGGCGAGGGTCGACCTCGCCGAGATCGGGCGAGGGCCGCCCTTGCTCGCCCGAGCGAGGCGGACCTCGCCCGGCGCGGCGAGGGTCGCCCTCGCACGGGCGAGCGAGGGCGGCCCTCGACCGACTCGGCGAGGTCGACCCTCGCCGGCGCCGGCGAGGTCGACCTCGCCGAGCGGGCGAGGGCCACCCTCGCTCGCCCGGGCGAAGGCGAACCTCGCCCGACGCCGGCGAGGGCCGCCCTCGCTCGACGCCGGCGAGGGCCCCCCTCACCGAATCCGGCGATGGGCAGCCCTCGCCAGATCCGGCGAGGCCCCCCCTCGCCGAAAAGGAAAAAAAATAAAAAAAAAAAAGAAAAAGCAAAAAAGATGAAAATGCCCATGAACTAAATACATTGGGGTAAATGTGTCACAAAAAGCAAAGTTCGGGGTTTTTGGTGTCACAAAAAAAAGTTCGGGGTAAATGTGTCACAGATGGCAAAGTTTGGGGTTTTTGGTGGTTTTTTCCCAAAAAAATAAAAGAAGGAATAAGAAAATCGGCCAATTATTGATCAATATTTTCTTTTCAAATTTGTTATTGTTTCAAAAAGAAAATGACTTGCTCAAAGTAATCGAGAAAAAAAAAATTAGATTCTTCAATACGCATTTGAACTTTTCTTTCAATACGTTTATTCGACCAAAACCCCAAACTAATACATTAATGACACAGTTTGTGATTTCTTGTGACATGAAAATTACTTTGGGATAAATGTGGCACGGGTTACCAACTTAGCAAATTTTTTGGTATTAACCGTAAAGAACTTATTTTTCTTTCTTTAAATGGCCAAACTGAGAGATGAGTGCACTTCTTGAGGGAGAATATACCCTAAACATGGCCAATTGCAAAAGGGGACGACAAATTTATGTTGGTTTTCACATGGCCAAACTGAACTATTAATTAAGAATTTTTACCATTGACCAAAGGCATTAGGTTATTATATATCATATCCGTCAACATCAACAATTTTGTACAAGCTCTTTTTAATTGAGAGAAGTAAAAGGTTTGATTTCTCGGACCCTTTAGCAAAAAGGGTTTGAATTGTCAATGACATATAAATTTAATCCGTTGCTCTTTGTATAAATAGCCATGATGACTTGGCATAAGTTCAATAATCTCCGAGGTAATAAGGAGAAAATTAAAGTAGATCATTTGAAAAGTGCTCTTTAAATAGACTATACTGAATTCCGCAGGTCAGAAAGATTTCATCATCTAATGTATTTTACTTAGCTTAAACACTATTAAGTACCATTAGACTATAACGTGAAATGGGATTGTAAGCAATATTAATCCTTGACCTAAATTAATAAATATTAGCTTCCGAATGATTGTGGAGAGAGAGAGAGAGAGAGAGAGAGAGAGAGAGAGAGAGAGAGAGAGAGAGAGAGAGAGAGAGAGAGTTCATGACCATGCTTCACATAATGTTTCTCTGAAACATGGCTTTATTATAGACTGAGTATAGTTTCTAACACGGTGTTTCTAAAATGGGTTATTTCATTTAAAGCCAAACTTACCCATTTTGGAGCTTAATCTCATATTTATTTTCTTTCGTGTGGGTCATCACCACTTTTGGTTTTACTTTATCAAAATGGGGAGGGTATCATCTTCATAGTCAACTTGGTCGAGTTAATTAGTGGATGAAACCAACCACTAATCGCATATTTTGATCGAAAGCTCGAGTTGTTTTTCCTATCTAAAGGCTCAATAAGTTCTCTGTCGAATTTAAGATGCACTGGACCCCTGATTGATGAAAGAATCATGATCATGAAGCTCCCACAGATTCCTGAGGAAGAATAGTTGTCAAGCAGTCCGTATAACCCTAATTGGTGGAAATTATTTTTTGTTTTGGCTATCGATTCGGGTGTAGTTCAAATTGCCAATTAGAGTTAGGGGCTGACAATAATTGTTATTGACATATCATAATTATTGTGCTTCTCATGCGCGTTAATTTCGAAATATCATAATTTTGATTGGACATTAAACAATTGAGTTATGATGTGAATGTCTTAATTTTTGTCAACATACGGGCTGAATGTATTGTGTTGTATCATAGTCGGATTTTCCTTTGGTAATTGGCGTTTTGTCTCGCTTTGTGCAATGGGTCATGTCCAATATTGCTAATCCTATATGCAGTGTAAGTCCTAAGCTTGAATCTTGACACTCCTCTCATGTTTATTTTGTTCAATATTCTAATCCCAACAAATGAAAATATGAACTACACTAATACCATCTACACATAAGCCATAGTAACAATTCTCCAATTTTTAGATGTTCAACACTACACCATTATTCGAAAGGGGTGGGGCAGCCCTCATGAACCACACCCTTTCTCTTTATCGCTTCTCCTCCTCAAAATCTTTTCGCGGCCCTTGAGAAATGATTCCCAATTTGTAAGGCATGGTAACTGCATGCATCTTGTCAAATTCGAATGCAAATTGTTATAATACATAATAAATTTCATAACTCATCCTGAACCGTTGAGATTTATTTTTTCATGATTCAATTAGTATCGATCTCATTGAAACCGGTTTATCGAGTGATTATCGAAACAACCCTCCTCCTCCTCCAGCTTCAGCTATTGGATACCATTTTTCTTCTCAATTTGTCTGTCTGTCTGTCATTGTTTTTGCTTCTTCTTTTTTTTTTTTTTTTTGTGGTTGCCATATCAGTTTGTCTCTGTCTAAATTCACCTAAACTTCAGCACTTCCCTTCACTACGGTCGAGATCAATTGTTTAATTGGCTCCTTCATCTTTTACCAACAGAGCCAACATGCACCTTCTTTGTCAATTGGCCCATCCCACAATGTCCTTTTCGATTGTCCCACTTGATTGGGCATCTCTTTCAATTATTATATGAATAAATTTTACATTAATCTATTATTTTCCTGTTTTGTTTTTAGCATCTGCGCCCACACACCACCCCCCCCACCAATCACAACACAACAACTTTGACCTCTCCCTTTCGCCCTCCTCTCTCTTCCCTCCTACCCCCCCCCCCCCCCCCCCCAATTCTTCTCTGTCCTTTGAGTCGTCGCACAGGCGTTTCCTCCATTGAGAGATTTTGATAGATAGATCCCCTCTTACGGAGGGTCGCATTCTTGTGTTCACCTCTGGGGGTTTGCTCTCTGTCTTGGCTTTTGCTTTTGAGTCTCAATAAGCTTAGAAAAGAAAGAAAAAAGAAAAGAAAAGCGAGGGAGCACAATACTTTTCTCACTTTACTTCAATCCCTCCATAATCACTCCCTTTTCCTTCCTGTTTCTTTCTCTGCTGGGTCCTCTCTGTTTTTGTTTATTTTCTTTCCGCTGGTTTTCTCAGACCTTTTGGGTCTGTTCAGAGGGTAGTAGTCTGCTGAACTTCACTTTGGAAGCTTCAAGTTTTGAAATTGGCACCACATTTTGAATCCACCTCGCGAAATCTGATCTGGGTTTCGCTTTTCTTTCATGATTCTTGTGCCTATTGCGCTCTTTGGATCTGATAGGGAAGTCTAGGGTTTATATCAATAGTCAAAACAGAGGCCTCGCTTTCTCTTTTTTCCTTTTGTTTCTGGAATTTCCCTTGGATTTTGGAAAGTTGGGTCTTTTCTAGATTCTCAGATTTATGCTCAACAGCAAAAGGGGGCCTTAGATTCCCTTTCAAAATGCTCCTTTGATTTCCAATCTTCCTTTTCCTCTTAAAAGCTTCCCCTGTGCTTCCCTCTGCTTTAACCAATATCTGTGTCTTGCTCTTTGAACTTTCTAAATGAGGGAATCGGTATTTGTCTGCGACATTGAGTAGCCTTATGCACCTCAGTTTCGTGCTGTCCTGATGCTATTAGTTTCACGCGAGATGAATCGGGAAATCGAAATCCTATCACCGGCATCGTACCTCCAGAATTCAAACTGGTTGTTCCAGGAGAGCAAGGGGACGAGATGGACCCCTGAGGAGAACAAGCGATTCGAGAACTTGTTGGCAGTGTACGATAAAGACACACCGGATAGGTGGATGAAAGTGGCGGCTATGATCCCCGGGAAGACGGTGGGCGACGTGATGAAGCAGTATAGGGAATTGGAGGAAGATGTGAGTGACATCGAAGCCGGGCTCATTCCGATTCCGGGATATGGGAGCAACTCCTTCACATTGGAGTGGCTCAATAGTAACAATGGTTGTGATGGGTTGAAGCAATTGTACAGTACTCTTGGAAAGAGAGGCACTTCGGCAAAACCCTCTGATCAGGAGAGAAAGAAAGGTGTTCCGTGGACTGAAGAAGAGCACAGGTAATTGTGGAGCCTTCGCAATCAAATTGCATCTTCAATTGAAATATATGCTTTGTTAATTGTTGAATCAAGATCGACCAAAAAAAAAATTGTTGAATCAAGGTCTGGAATTTACTCAGAAAGTCTGAAATTTTGGTGCTGTTACTTGTTATGGACTACCTCACCTGGAATTCTAGCTGCTGAATCATGCTCTTTTACTTAATTTTTGAGTCTGCATCTTTTTCCAACTTTGCAAGAATGTATATGCATGTGTCGGGTTAAACCTCTTCAGATAGATGGTCTGAAATGCTGTGAAGCCCTTTCATGTTTCTGCTGCAGCTGGATATTAGCATGAAACCTGTAAAATGTTTCAAGATTGTATATTAAACATAGACAAAGCTCTGGTTAACTGAAATCTTTAGTATGTCCAAATGTATATTTCCAGCACTAAATGTAAGTGCGGTTTGTGATGTTGCATCTGGCGATGGTCCTGCAGGCAATTTTTGATGGGTCTTAAGAAGTACGGGAAAGGGGATTGGAGGAACATCTCGCGCTACTTCGTGACTACTAGGACTCCGACTCAGGTGGCCAGTCATGCCCAAAAATACTTCATCAGACAGCTTACGGGAGGAAAGGACAAGCGAAGATCGAGCATTCACGACATCACAACAGTTCATCTCCCAGATAGTGACCCACCTTCGCCAGTCAAAAGGCAACCCGCCTCGCCTGACGATTCTTCCACGATCACGAAGCTACCGCTACAAGCACAGCCACATGATCATCATCCAAAGATCGAAGAGATGAGCAAAGATCTCTTGTGCTGGAACAACCGGTCGAACGGAGGGTTGGCGACTGCATATGACCAAGTAGGCATCGACGCTGCCTTAGGACCATTTCGCGGGATTTCTTCTTACGGGAATAAGTTGCATGAGCAAAGATTCCTCATGGGGGGACTTTACGGTGCCCAGTTCGATCCTTATTTCCAGATGCAACCTATGCACTATCAGTGAAAGTGCCTCAGTGGGATTTTGCAAAATTTGTTAAGGTTAACGGATGCGTGGGATCATTCAGCAACACCTGGTCATTAATCCAAAAGTGCTGTCTCTTTAAGGGGTTTATGTGTGTATACATTTGATGAGAAGGTATGAAGGTTTAGGTCATAGTGAGGGGAGAATGTTCAAAGAAAGCATTTAGTTCGCATTGCCATCCGATGTCCGGATTCTAAACCCACTTGAATATAACCGGATGCTTATTTCCTCACAACGTTGCGATTTGTGTTTATCCGTAACGGGCTTGAGTCTTGAAGGTATCAAGCAACGCTTGCGAAATGAATTTGTCCACAGTGCCAGCCATTGAACCTTTTGTATATGCTCAAAAGTCAAAATTAACAAGGTAAAAGCTAAAAATTTTAAAGCTCTTTTCTGAAAGATTCACCGGTCCATGGAAGATTTTGGTACGGGCTGCAGGATTCGGATGATTAAACGAACTCGGTCGCTGTTTACACCACATTAATTCTGATTGTTTTTGGCTAATGCTGCTGGCTAAAGTAGCACCCTTACTGCTTTCTTTTCTAGCTAGAGGCAAAAGAAGGATTCAATGTGAAGTTCCACCACATGTTCAGTTCGATATTCTATGAAAAACCGACAGCTTTAGCAACCAATCTTAAAACAAAATCTCAAAACTACTCCTCTTTTCCTTTCTCAGAACATGGTAATTTTCTTGGTCTTTCACCTGAGCTAAAGCCTGCCGTCACAGTAACATACTAAGCTGAACTTAAAATCAAACATGTCGACCTTTTCTATTCCAATGAAATGAATCTACACTTTCTCATGCATAAGTTTCGAATATGTGTACTACTTCATTTAATCTCATAAACCAGTAAAGTGCGAACCAAAATGAACATGAAGGTCTAGTTAATAGAGTTCATTCGATACTTCTACTCGAGAAAACAGAAATCTGATTAATACATTGATCATACACAACGAGATAGACAGTACATTTGAAAAACATAAATTCTCTCAAATTGGTATGAATAAATGCTACTCGTCAACAAAATTAAGTGGATTAGAAATTGTTTGCTCGTAACGTTTCCGCACGCCTTGCACGCCAAATTCTCCTTATATCTTTGTCTTCCTTAAAGAGAGAGAATACCATCTAAAAGTTTTACATTCTAATGATTCCAAGATCCCGACGAAAATTAAGATAAAATTTTTTAAGTACATGCTTAGATTCAATTTAAAATCTATCCCATTTTTATGGGGTAGGAGTTGCTATTATAATTATGTAAAAAAGTCGCAAGTTTCCACACTCCAATGTTTACCTGCTTGTCCCGCTGATTTTTATTGAGAACAGGGAAAAGAATAATTTATAATGTCAAAGGTGGCTGAGAGTGTTGGGTGACCTGGATCTTTTGTGCAGGCTCTTTTGGTTTAGTCTTCTGAGCAATAATCATTAGTAAAAGTACAGAGGGCCACATGACATGTTTATAATAATGTCGTGTATGTCTTGTCTTGGTTCTCTAAATCCTGGTGCTGCTTTGTTGATTGCCTAGTGGCCAATGGGACTCCTCTAGCTCTGAACAGTCTTTGTGCAGAATATAGTGAGACTTCCCGTAAAATTACCCCACTTGTTTTGGAAAAAAAAAAAAGGGAAAATGTGCATTACTGATTGCACCATCATGAATTGGGAGCATTATTCACTCAAAAGTTTTTCACATCAGATAAAATATATCTGATTAAAAAAAATTATGTGAATTGAGCATACATAAATCGGAGAAATGTTGGATCGCCATATTCAATTTCAGAAGCCCACTAAAAAAAACTTGTTGAGTCATTTTTATTATCATCCATACAATTCTATTTAGAAGTTTTTATCTTCTTCCTTTAATATACATATCTAGTATAAAACATGAAAATTTTGACTTGTAACTTGATTGGGTCCTTCCTCGAAAAACATTATATGAATCATTAAGTGAAAAAGAAATCTTGAGTAAATGCTTAAAATTAGTGCAAAAAATCGGTTTATGAGATGATATTCTAATTGATTCTCCAATCACAAGGGAAACCAACTAAATTGAACTCCTAAAGAAGAACCAATTTCACTTTCTAAATCTGGCTATTCCAACCATTCCACTAATCTTTCGTGGTATTGATTGTTTGGCACTAAGATTATTGCTAGCTTTTTTGCAAACTTGGTTGAAAAGGATAGTGCCCCCCATTTGTTTGCACAAAATTATTTCCGGTCCCCACCCACTTACACAACCAATTCTCCATCAAACATGAGCAATTTTTTGGAACAGAAAAAAAAAGTTTCATCAACTTTAAATTTTTCTTTTCGGGTGAATGACAAAAATGCCCACTTTTCCTTCTCACAATGGAGCAGCTTTTTCTCTGCAAGTTGCATAAGCAAAAGCACTTTTGTCTACTTTATATTTAAATTTTAATGATCTTTTCCTTGAGTTTATTTAGGACCACGAACCCGATTACCATATTTTACAACTAGGGCCGTCAAATGGGTGGGTTGAGTCTAATATGATCTGACTCATATTGATCCATTTAACCCGTTTTGATCTATTTCTTCGCAATGCAATTTTGATGACCTATACCCAACCCAACCAGTTCCCACCCAACCCATATTATCAAAACACATTGATATTTTAGGAAAACCCACACCCATCCATTTAACTCACTTTAAGCTCTTCACATGTATACGTTACTTGAACAACAACTTCATGTTAAATTAAAAAAGCAAATTAAACAATAAATAAATTAGTAAATAAAATAAAAAATGTAAAAAACCTATAAATCATGTTCACTGCAAAAAAATCAATATAAATTGAGACAAATGACAAAATTCAAATGGACTTATACAAGCAAGGCATATCATTTTCATGAGCACATTCCCTATCTCCCAAAGCTTTGCACAGCCCCTCGAACCTCTCATAATCACTTTTCTAATTCAACCCAGTTAACACGACAATCCCAGTGATTTTTTTTCCCCAAGACCTCTCATTATCACATTTTACTTCTGTCACACCCCGAAAACAACTAGAAAATGGGGATGACACGGCCATTAGTACGAGAGCGCTATCATAAGGACTTTTGGGAGTTAGATTTTGGGTATGATTTTTGGGAGTTGTATGTAAGATTGTTGATAGTTCGTCGGGTTGGCTGAGTTCTTGATATACATGTTCTTTTGGTGGACTATAGAATTTATGATGTTGTAACCAACCTGTTAGTTTATCTGATATATATGTGATTTGAAATGTGTGTGTGTGTGTGTGTGTGTGTGTGTGTATGTGTTGATAACAGGTTGTTGGTTATTGTTGAGGCTGCGTCCTTCGTGTGGAAGGACGACCGTATCATCCCCATTTTTTAGTTATTTTCGGGGTCTAACATCTTTTAGTATTAGAGCTTAAGTTGTGATCTGTTTGGGTGTAAGATTTATGGGATGTTGTGAGATTGTGTGATAGTTATAGCGTGTTATCTTCTAGGTGCTAAGGTTTTGTTACGTTTGGATTCAGGTTATCATGCATTCCGACTCGGAGACACTTGCCTCGTTTCGTAAGAACAGTAAAGGCAAGCGAGTCACTATCCCTGACACTAGAGATATGCCTCAAGGTTCTCGAGGCTCGGCTTCAAAAAGGAGACTGGAGGATAGATTTGAAAGGAGCCCCGACTCACAATATGCAAGTGATGAACTTCCTGAGCCTACCATCCAATGCGATTTATCTGAGACTTGTCAAGTAGTGCTTAACTTTTATCGTCAGTTGAAGGATCTAGGTGGGAGTGGAACCGCTATGACTGAAGGTGATAGAGAATATACAATTGCCCAGTTGAGAAAGGCGAAGCCACCTACTTACAATGGGAAATCGGATCCTCTATTGGCTGAACGTTGGATTAGAAGAATGAAGGGGATCTTTAGAACCGAAAGAGTTCCCAATGATCGAAAGGTTGACTTTGCCACCCAATGTTTGGAGGGCGAAGCTGAGTATTGGTGGGAAGGGACTAGACCCGCCCTGGGAAGCGTAGATGCGACAATTTCTTGGGAAGACTTTACAAAGGCCTTCAACACTCAATTCTTCCCGAGGTCATTCCAAGCGAAGATGAGCGACGACTTCATACACATATCTCAGGGTCACTCTATAGTAATGGACTATGCAGGCCACTTCAACCAGTTAAGTAGGTTTGCGGAACATTATGTGTCTAATGAGGAACTTAAAGCTAAACATTTCCAAAGAGGCCTTCGGCCTAATATACGTTCTAAGCTCGCATCTCTTGAGCTGACCACATACAAGGATGTCTTGGAACGAGCGATCAAGGTGAAACAATACAAATTGGAGCGTGACATACATGGTGCTCATCCACAAAAGAGGCCTAAATTCACAGAGTTTCAAGGAAGTTGTATAAGTGGCAATAGTAATTGAAGAGGAAGTAACCTACCTGGGAAGTTTAGAGCCCAGAATAGTCGGAACCTGTGTACTACATGTGGAGTGCATCATGGCGGTGAGTGTCGTTGGAAAACATGAGTGTGCTTCTTATGTGGGAAAGTAGGACACATGCGGCGTGATTGTCCTACAGAAAGGAATTCTACATCTGATAGCAGATCATGTTATCTATGTGGACAACGAGGACACCTAGCACATAGTTGTTTCATGCGAAGGAATGCTCCTTCAGTTGGTAAGCCCCAAGAGAACCCGCAAAGACAGAGGACAAGTGGGAAAGTCTTTGCGATGATAGAGAAGGATGCGGCAGCATCTAACGCAGTTGTTGCAGGTAATATTTCTATTGCCCCGCAATGTGCTTATGTGTTGTTTGATCATGGTGCTACACATTCCTTTATTTCTACTAAATTTAAAAAGAAGTTTGATGTGTTACCTGAGCCTCTTGAATATGAATTGCGTGTCGATACTCCTACTGGTGATTTCTTAGTTGTTGATCATGTGTTGAAGAGATGTGTGCTCCTGATTAATAATGTTGAAATGCCTATGGATCTAGTGGAGTTAAATATTCAAGATTTCGATATTATTATAGAGATGGATTGGTTATCCACATACCGTGCTTATGTTGATTGTTTTTCAAAGAAACTGATTTTTAGACTTTCGAGTCAACCCAAATTCTCTTTTTCGGGAAGTTGTAAAGACACTTTTCAAAGGTTGATCTGGGCTTTGCAAGCGATGAAACTTTTGAGAAAGGGTTGTTGTGGTTATTTGGCTTGTGTAAAAGACACAAGTAAGGTTGTAGTAAAGTTGGAAGATGTTCCGGTTGTTAGAGAATTTTCCAATGTGTTTCCCGAGGATTTACCAGGTTTGCCTCTTGATAGAGAAATTGAGTTCTGTATTGAATTGATGCCCGGTAAAGCACCAATCTCTAAGGCAACGTATCGGATGGCACCTGCTAAGTTGAAAGAATTGAAAACACAATTGCAAGAGCTTTTGGATAAATGTTTCATCAGACCTAGTGTCTCGCCTTGGGGAGCTCCAGTTTTACTTGTGAAGAAGAAGGACAGTAGTTTGAGGCATTGTATAAACTACCGAGAACTTAACAAGGTAACGATAAAAAACAAATATCCTTTGCCCATAATTGATGATTTATTTGATCAATTTCAGGGAGCTCAGGTCTTTTCTAAGATCAACCTTCGTTCTGGGTATCATCAATTGAAGATAAAAGTAGATGATGTGCCTAAAACTACTTTCAGAACAAGGTATGGCCATTATAAATTTCTCATCATGCCTTTTGGTTTAACAAATGCCCTTGCTGCTTTCATGAACTTGATGAACAGGGTGTTCAGGAAGTATCTAGACAAATTTATTGTGGTGTTCACCGATGACATTCTAGTGTTTTCGAAGAGTTTGGAGGATCACGAACAACACTTGAAGTTTGTCCTACAGACTTTGCATGAAAAGAAGTTGTATGCTAAATTCAATAAGTGCGACTTCTGGCTTGATCATATAGAATTCTTGGGTCATGTAATCTCGAAGGATGGCATATTAGTGGATCCAAAGAAAGTTAAAGCAGTTGTTTAGTGGAATCGCCCTATTAATGTTACAGAAGTGAGAAGTTTTCTTGGGCTAGCTGGCTATTACAGACGATTTGTGGAGGGATTCTCAAAGATCGCTGGTCAACTTACTCGTCTAACTCAGAAGAGAGTTAAATTTGTATGGTCAAATCAATGTGAGAGCAGTTTTCAACAGTTAAAAGGGCAGCTAGTGTCAACTCCTATATTGACTTTACCTTCAGGAACTGCTGGCTTCATAATTTATTGTGATGCGTCTAAAGAAGGTTTGGGTTGTGTTCTTATGCAAGATGATAAAGTTGTTGCATATGCTTCTAGATAATTGAAAACACATGAGAAGAACTACCCCACTCATGACCTCGAGCTAGCAGCGGTTGTGTTTGCCTTAAAAATATGGCGTCACTATTTGTATGGTGAAAGATGTGAAGTCTTTACCGATCATAGGAGTCTGAAGTATATTTTTACTCAGAAAGAGCTAAACATGAGGCAAAGAAGATGGTTAGAACTGTTGAAGGATTATAACCTGTCTATTAATTACCATCCAGGAAAGGCTAATGTGGTAGCGGATGCCTTGAGTAATAAGTCTTTAGGAAATATGACAACTTTACTTACTTCTCAAAAGCCTATTCTTGAAGACATGGGGAAGTTGGACTTGGAGGTATTAATGCATCAACTTGGTGCTCGGTTAGCTAATCTTCGAGTACAACCGACATTGATTGACAGAATTAAAACTAAACAGAATAAAGATCCCCAATTGCAGAAATTCAAAGAAGGCGTGAAGCTGGAGGACAAGCAGACTTCAGTATACACGTAGATGGATCCTTGAAGTTTCGTGGTCGTCTATGTGTTCCCAATGATTCAAAACTAAAAAAGGAGATATTGCAAGAAGCTCACAACACTAGATTCTCAATTTATCCTGGAAGCACTAAAATGTATAGGGACTTGACAGAGAACTTTTGGTGGGTCAACATGAAGAAGGATGTTGTCAAATTTGTCGACCAATGCCTGGTTTGCCAGCAAGTAAAAATTGAGCACCAGAAACCAGGTGGACAGTTACACCCTCTAGAGCTACCTAAATGGAAGTGAGAGCGTATCACCACAGACTTCGTAGTTGGTCTACCGAGAATGCCAAGCCGTAAGAATGCTATATGAGTGATTGTTGATAGATTGACTATGTCCGCACACTTTTTGTCATATCGATTCAGCCTTTCAATGGAAGACATGGCAAAACGATAGGGGGAAGAACAACATTGGTGCCAAAACTTGTGTACGGAGGCCACTTTGGTGCCAAAACTTTCATTTGGATCACTTAAGTGCCAAAAGTTTACGCCGGCGATCACTTAAGTGCCAAATCGGAGAAAAAACGATCACTTAAGTGCCAACGGCGAGAAATTCCGATCAAATTTAATACGTGGCTTTTATATTTAAATTTTAATGACACGCGACATTTCCATGTGTATAATTCAATTTTTGAAATATTTTTTTCTAATTTTCTTCTTTCTTTTCTTTTTTTTCTTTTCTTTCTTCTTATTTCCGATGGCCGGCGTCCGGCCATCGGCCATGGCCGGCGTCCGGCCATCGGCCATGGCCGGCGTCCGGCCATCGGCCATGGCCGGCGTCCGGCCATCGGCCATGGCCGGCCTCGCCGGCATCGCCTTCCTCCGGGCGAGGCCCGGCAAGGCCGCCGTGGCCTCGGCGAGGCCGGCCTCGCCGGATCTGGCGAGGCGAGCCTCACCGGGGCTCGCCCGCCCAAGTGAGGGTCGAGGTCGCCGGCGGGGCGAGCCCGGCGAGGCTCGCCTCGCCAGATCCGGCGAGGCCGGCCCTCGCCGAGGCCACGGCCGCCTCGCCGGGCCTCGCCGGAGGAAGGCGAGGCCCGACGAGGCAGCCGTGGCCTCGGCGAGGGCCGGCCTCGCCGGATCTGGCGAGGCGAGCCCTCGCGGGGCTCCGCCCCTACCCGGCGAGGGTCGAGGTTCGAGGTCGCCCGGGCGGGGCGAGCCCCGGCGAGGGCGAGGCAATGGCTACCTCGCCTGGCCTCGCCGGCGAGGCGAGCCTCTCTCCGGGCTCGCCCCGCCCAGCGACCTCGACCCTCGCCCGGGCGGGCGAGCCCCGCGAGGGCTCGCCTCGCCAGATCCGGCGAGGCCAGCCCTCGCCGAGGCCACGGCGGCCTCGCCGGGCCTCGCCCGGAGGAAGGCGAGGCCAGGAGAGGCTAGCCATGGCCGGTGGCCGGTGGCCGGATGCCGGCCATCGGAAATAAGAAGAAAAAAAAGAAAAAAAAAAGAAAAAAAAGGAAAAAAGAAAGAAAAGGAAAAAAAGAAGAAAAGAAATGCCACATCAGCTTCCGGCGAGCCACATCGGCCTCCAGCGAGCCACATCAGCTTGAGAAATTAATAAAAAAAATGCCACGTTGGATTTCCGGCGAAGTGGCACTTAAGTGATCGTTTTTCACAACTTTTAGCACTTAAGTGATCCGATTGAAAGTTTTGGCACCAAAGTGGCCTCCGTACACAAGTTTTGGCACCGATGCTGTTCTTCCCCCCAAAACGATATGTTAATGAGATAGTGAAGCTTCATGGAGTTCCAGGAAACATCGTTTCTGACAGGGATCCCAAATTTGTATCTAACTTTTGGAGGAGTCTACAATGAGCATTGGGTACTAAACTCAACTTGGGTACATCTTTTCACTCGCAAACAGATGGGCAGTCAGAGAAAACGATCCAGACATTAGAGGATATGTTGAGATCCTACGCCATTGACTTTGGAGGTTCTTGGGATGTACATCTACATTTGGCAGAATATTCTTATAACAACAGCTATCATTCCAGCATTAAGATGGCATCTTTTGAAACTTTGTATGGCCGAAAATGCATAAGCCCTATTTGTTGGGATGATATTGGTGAGAAAAGACTAATCGGCCCCGAGTTCATTCAACAGTCAGAAGAGAAAGTTATGTTGGTTCGGGAATATCTTAAAATGGCTAAAAGTTGTCAGAAAAGTTATGCATATCTTAAAAAACGTAAGGTAAAATTTAGCATGGGGGATCATGTACTCCTAAAAGTTTCACCTACGAAGGGTGTTATGAGATTTGACACACGTAGGAAGTTAAGTCCAAGATACGTGGGATCATTCTTGATCTTAGAGAAGATTGGTGAAGTCATTTACAAACTGGCTTTGCCACCGGCACTGTCAAGTGTTCATAATGTGTTCCATGTCTCTTTGTTGTGGAGATATGTCCCAAATCCTGAACACGTACTAGACTTTACACCATTGAGATTAAGGGAGAACTTGACATATGAGGAGCAGCCTATTCGCATCGTCGATAGGAAGGATCAGGTGTTGCGACGGCGGACCATTCCTCATGTAAAGATACAATGGCTGAACCACACTGAGAGAGAGGCCACTTGGGAGCTTGAGGAGGAGGCAAGACGCAAGTACCCTCACTTGTTTGAAAGTTGAGGTAAATTCAAATTTCGAGGACGAAATTTCTTTTAAGGAGGGATGAATGTAATATTTGTGTAAAAAAAAAGGGTCAAAAAGTCAAAAAGCAGCAACAGTGGACGCTCGGCTCTTCCTTTTTAACCAAGAGCATGAACTGTTGAAAACAGAGAAAAGAGAGGAAAGAAAAGAGAGAAAGAAAAGGAAGAAGAAGAAAGGGGAAAGGCTCACGTCACGGGAGCCTCGCCAATTCGGATCAACTTTGTATTGCAACGCCCGGTAAGCACTCGCGCCCCTCATTCGTCCGATCGAAAAAGTTTTCTGATTTAGGGTTTAAATTCGAAATTTTGGGAAATTCAAGCTGTGAAGTCCGATTTTTGAGTCGTTGAGCTGCGCATATGTATAGAATTAGTAGTTTAGGGTGTCGTGGAGCTGTGAGATTATACGGATCTCGATTTGGATTTACCGTTTGCCCGAAACGAATTTTTGAAGTTTTCCGCGTTAGGTGAATAGTACACGTCCGGCAACCTTCAGGCCATATTTCATAGGTTTTCGGCTCAATTTTGGGGCGGCCAAGCTGGGGCTTTTGTAATACTCTGAATGAGCTTTCTTTTGACTATAAGTTTGCTAGGATCGGAGTACGATGGAGAGAATTACGGAGCGATCAGGTTTCACGATTAAGTTCCGCATTACGGATAATTTTGAATAGCCGCTTTGGTTGTGAGTTTTGTTAGCGCGTAAGTGTTATTTTGTTAGCGTTTAAGCTTACTATAGCCATTGCGTAGTTATCGTAGTATTTTGCTTGGTTTGACGTCGATTCTCGTTTAATTGTTAGGATTACGAGATCATCAACTCATTTAGCTGCGTGTTGTTGGTTTCGGGTATTCCCAAGTGAGTGGTACTATCTCTTCTTTGGTTTTATAAAAACCATGTCTCAAAGAAATTATGATTTGATATATATATATATATAACTTAAAAGAGCATTTTGTTGCATAAATCGGGATCGAGTATTTACTACTTTTTAGTATTTGAGAATGATTTGGGAATCATTTTTGGAAATGTATTGTAAAAGGATACATATGTGTATCGCGTTACGAACTAGTTTATGAAATGAGTTTGGAAATGATTTAAGAAATGCTCTACGAAATATATTTCTGGCGGATGAGCCGTGTTGCGAGAAAGTTATTTGTTTGGTTTGTGAAATGTATTATGGATTGGATTTCTGATATTGGATGATGATTGTTTGATGCTCAATATGACTATGAACCCGGGTAGGGGTTTCGGGGTATGTATACCTGTTTAGGATATCTTTCTGAGTCGAGCCACCAGCTTTATAGATGGAGAACTTGCCAAGGGGGGAATCTTGGTCGCCTTGTCACCAAGCATTGTGTCGTGACCATAGTAGTAATTGAGCAATAGATTAGTCAATGGAATGGACCATTGACGTGGCTTTTATAGAGATTGATCAAAAGATTTGACCATAGATAGTTTGAATAGTGATGGTGAATTTAAATATGTATTTGTGACTTGTACAAAATTTTGATGAAATGAAACAACTCTTATGTAATTCTATATGTATTTTAAACCTTGAGTTTGGCTTATGAAGTTCTGGTATTGCTTTATACACATGCATAGTGATTGCTCGATCTCCTTAGAAGATTTGTATTATTCACTGAGCTGTGATTGCTCATCCCTCTCTTTCCCAATCTTTTCAGGTTCCTCGGCTAGCGGCCGTTAATACGAGAGTGCTATAGCAGGGACCTTTGGGAGTTAGATTTTGAGTATGATTTTTGGGAGTTGTATATAAGGTTGTTGATAGTTCGTCAGGTTGGCTGAGTTCTTAATGTACATGTTCTTTTGGTGGATCATAAAAACTCTGATGTTATAACCAACTCGTTGGTTTATCTGATATATATGTGGTTTGATATATATATGCTGATAACAGGTTGTTGATTATTGTTGAGGCTGCGTCCTTCGTGTGGAAGGACGGCCGTGTCATCCCCATTTTCTAGTTATTTTCGAGGTGTGACAACTTCCATAATACAAAAGGACAAATGAAAATTTAGCTCAATGGTTCCATGGTCTTGACGGTGAATGGCACAAACTCGAGGCGGCAGCGAGAGACGGCATTGTGGACCTCATTCATGACCTTGGGGACGGAGACAAACCTGTCAGCGAGGCCTCAAAGCTTTTCACTGCCCTTGATGATGGTATTCACGTCCACAACCACCACAGACATGCCCCTTGATGAGTTGCGGCTATCTACAAAGATCTTTTTTGTTGTGCTTGTGCCGTTCTGTTTTTCGCCTTTCGACTGAGGCTGAGGGCTGAACTCTCCTCCGAAGAAGCATTAGCCAAGGATGCAAAGAAGAGGGGACCTTAATTAAATCTACAAGATGATTAACAAATCCCTTTCCAAATTCATATCAAGCTCAGTTAAAATACAAAACCACCGATCAGATGAGTCGAACATTCCTATCATGAGCGAAAAAAAATTGACTAGTTTCAAGATAATGGTTCGAATGGCTTCTTTGTTAGAGGTAGAAGGGGATGGAGACGGGCACCAACAGTTGCAGCCGGAGAGGGAGGCGACGACAGCGAGGAAGGCAGCTGCCACTGTGGAAGAGGAGGACGAAGTGGAAGAAAAAGAGGGGGAGGAGCAGTGGACTTAGGGCGGCGGTGGAAGCGGAATAGAGGAGGATTTGCAGGTAGAGTGGGGGTTGGGTTGGGCAAAAGTGTAGACCCATTTAAAACCCTATTTGACCCATATTTGATTGAGGTTTATAGCTCAAACCCATAACAATCCATTTATTAATAATAGGCCAACCCATTTCTGACCCATTTTATAAAAAATGGGTTAAAAATTGGTTCATTAACCCATTTTGACACCTCTACCTATAACTCGTGGTTCCAAGGGTAAGCAATTGGGTCAGCTCACTTGGGGAAGCGAAAGGAACCAGCCTTACTTAATCGATTCCAAACCGATTCACACAAAAACCGAATAGGTTCCTGGGTAAAAATAGTGGGAATCGACCTTGACCAGTTCGGTTTCTGATTTTATAAGGTAAATCGTTGGTTCTCCTCGAGAGCTAGCCTTTCTCGAGTAGAGCCGTTTTTTAGCTCTTTTGTTTTTTGCTTCCTTTAAGAAAAAAAAAAATATGTGTGTGTGTGCGCGCGCGCGCGCGTGTGGGAAATTAGTTTCGAATCGGGGAAGTCTAGAAAATTCATCAATGCTTTAACAATTATGCCTCTGATGGGGTAGGTTTCAAATTCTTTATGTGAAATCTACTCACTTGAGAACCAATCACCCCCTACATGGCTCCATATCCCCTCCAATCTCTCTTCAACATTTTCTTGATTTTATTATTCTCCTTTTTTTAAAAATTTTTTGTTCCGTGCATTAGCAATTTGAATTAAATAAAAACAGAAGGAAAAGAGGAATAAGAAAAGGTTGCACTCGGGTTGGACCCCAGAAATCTGACAGCAATCTCAGGTGAGGGCTTTAGATCCATGCCAAGAGTAAAAGGAAAAAACAGAATTGAGAATTGCAGGAAGTGGCATGCTTCTGGCCAATAAGAAGCTCCAAACCATGGCATTTTCAGACAAAAGAAAATGGAAAATCTCAGTGGGCTACATACTTATAAAAGGTATTTTGTGAAAAGTGGCTGTTGGGAAATACCAAACAAGAGCACTGATTAATGCTGTGATGGGATTTGATGTGAGTGCTTAGCGTGTTGGGTTGTGTACTTTAGGTGATATTCTTTGTCATGGGATTTTGTTTGTTGGTGTCAAAAGTTTTTCCTTTTCTGAAAAAGAAATAACTTTTGATGAGAGGATTCGTAGAATGCTGTCTATTTGAACTCAGATTTTGAAGCTCTACAAATTTTTTCTAAATTAGTACTTGAGAGTTTACCTAATTGCATAGTACCTTTCCCCGATGCTTTGAATAGCTATCTTTTTCAGCTAAACAAACAAGCAATCGACTTGAAAGGCGTTGCTGATGGATCCCAAACTACCCCTCAAATTAATCATATTGTTCTAGTTTTTTCTTGAGCCTTCCATAGAATTTATCAAGATATTCGTTTTTTTCCTTCATTCTCAAAGTAAGAAAAAGGGCAAAGAGTTGTCATGCATCGGTGATTTTTAGAACAAGTTCACATTATGATTTTTCTTTTCTAGCCGTTAACCTCTAATACTTTGAAGTTAAGTAGTTACATCAATCACGAAGCGGTCAATCTATCTATGGAGGACAAACATGGATTTGGTTTATATCGAATTAGATTTATATTGATTCAGAAACGAAACCAGCACAAACACAAATTTGGTTTCCAATTCATGAAGATTCAAGTGTATACTATATAGGAACACTCACTCAGATTTTGTTTGAATCTTACCTCCTCTAGGAGGTTAGTGCACATCTCACAGGCCTTGGGCTCAGGGGTGAGCAAAAAAGTCCGAAAGCTCGAAAGCCCTAAACGAAGCAGCCAAATATGCCCGAGCTAGGATTTCGAGCAGGTCCGAGCCTTCAAGATAGAGATGCTCACTCCTGAAATGGCCCAAACAATTTTTTAAGATAATATTTTAAAAATAAAATAATGAAATTTACATCATTTATACTGGAAACACTTTATTAGACACATAAATCAATTATAAAACATAAATATAGAAAAGCGATTTTTGAAACCAAAAATATAACAACAAATTTATTTTAATTTTCAAGAAAAAAACCAAAAAAAAAAAACATTCAGGCTAGGCCCGAGCTAGCCCGTTGTACTTCGACGCAAACCATTTAAATTTGGGCCGGGCCAAAAACATTGAGGCCCGGCCTGCCTAGCCCTATTCAGGCAGCCTTCCTCAGCATAAGTTATGACATCCGAAATTTTTCATGTCCAATAATAATGATTAGGTTACAAAGCTAAGTATTATTTAGCTTATAATTTGTGTTGACACGTGAAAATCTCAGTGAATCATCAATCTTGCAAGATACGGAGAATGCAAAGGATAATTTTCCGCAACCGTAATTGTCTTGAGTCCCATATGTTGAAATTAAATTGATAAATGTTGATGTATATGTTGATAATTAGAATGATGTTAATTAATTTACCGCCATCTTAGTTGTAAATGGGGGCAGACATTCTTCGAATTTTATGTTTAATGATTGTCGAGTTTTAAATTGTACTAAATCGAAATTTTCCTAACATCTGGTATTATTTACCAATAAATTTCGTAGATTCAAATTATTTTTGAATTTATCAATATTTAGAACGGACATTAATTTTCTTATTCACGTTTTAATTTTCTAGATATCTTGATTTGGATCATATTATCTAATTTAAACTTCGTTAATTAATATTAAGAATGATCTACTTCAACTAAGAAATGACATACCTATTTGGCCGAAGGTGAGAGAGAGAGAGAGAGAGAGAGAGAGAGTGTGTGTGTGTGTGTGTGTGTGTGTGGGGTCAACACGTAACAATGAAGTAGAATAAGGAATTAGAAAAGCAAATGAAGGATGTGCTTGAGACCCACTTCCGGTTCAATGCAAGTGAAACATCGATCCAGAACCCCATCACTAATGATTAAACCCTAGCTAAGGAACGGGTCACCTTGTTCGCACATCAAACAACCGGTGGACCAGTTGGCTCTTCTTAGCCATGTTCTGTTGCTCTCTGTCTCTGTTTTGGTCATGGCTTTCTTGTGTGGACGATAAAGACGCACTGGATAGGTGGGTGAAAGTGGCCGCTTTAATCCCCGGGAAGACGGTGGGCGATGTGACGAAGCAGTATAGGATATCAAAGGAAGATGTGAGTGATATCGAAGCCAGGATTTTTCCAATTCCAGGATATGGGAGCAACTCCTTCTCATCAGAGTGGATCAATAGTAACAATGGTTGTGATGGGTTGAAGCAATTAGACAGTACTCTTGGAAAGAGAGGCACTTCGGCAAAACCCTCTGATCAGGAGAGAAAGAAAGGTGTTCCGTGGACTGAAGAAGAGCACAGGTAATTGTTGAGCCTTCTCTTGAATTGAAATATATGCTTTGTTAATTGTTGAATCAAGGTCTGGAATTAGCCAGAAAGTCTGAAATTTTGGTGCTGTTGCTTGTTTTGGACTACCTCACCTGGAATTCTAGCCGCAGAATCATGCTCTTTTACTTAATTTGTGAGTCTGCATCTTTTTCCAACTTTGCAAGAATGTAAATGCATATGATTTGAACCCCTTGGGGTTATTCCGAATGCATTGTCGCCTGTCGGGTTAAACCTCTTCAGATAGATGATCTGAAATGCTGTGAAGTCTGCTGCAGCTGGATATTAGCATGAAACCTGTAAAATATTTTAAGATTGTACAGTTGACATACACAAAGTTCTGATTTACTCAAATCTTTAATGTCCAAATGTATATTTCGAGCACTAAATGTAAGTGCGGTTTGTGATGTTGCATCTGGTGATGATCCTGCAGGAAATTTTTTATGGGTCTTAAGAAGTACGGGAAAGGGGATTGGAGGAACATCTCGCGCTACTTCGTGATTACTAGGACTCCGACTCAGGTCGCCATTCATGCCCAAAAACACTTCATCAGCCAGCTTACGGGAGGCAAGGACAAGCAGAGATCCAGCATTCACAACATCACGACGGTTCTTCTCCCAGAGAGTGACCCACCTTCGCCAGTCAAAAGGCAACCTGCCTCACCTGACAATTCTTCCACGATCACGAAGCTACCGCTGCAAGCACAGCCGCATGATCATCATCCGAAGATCCAAGAGATGAGCAAAGATCTCTTGTGCTGGAACAACCGATCAAATGGAGGGTTGGCGACAGCATATGACCAAGTAGGCGTCGATGCTGCCTTTGGACAGTTTCGCGGGATTTCTTCTTATGGGAATAAGTTGCACGAGCAGAGATTCCTCATGGAGGAACTTCACGGTGCCCAGTTCGACCCTTATTTCCAGATGCAACCTATGCACTATCAGTGAAAGTGCCTCAGTGGGATTTTGCAAAATTTGTGAAGGTTAATGGACCTTTGGGATCATTCAGCAACACCAGATCATTAATCCAAAAGTGCTGTCTCTTTTAGGGATTTATGTGTGAATTCAGTTGATGAGAAGATCTTAAGGTTTAGGTCATACGGAGGGGAGAATGTCAAAGACAGCATTTAGTTCGCATTGCCATCTGATGTCCAGATTCTAAACCGACTTGAATGTCACCGGATGCTTATTTCCGCAAACATTGCGATTTGTGTTTATCCATATCGGGCTTGAGTCTTGAAGGTAACCAGCGTCGCTCACAAAATGAGTTTGTCCGTCGTGCCAGCTATTGAACTTTTTGTACGTGCTCAACAACCAAAATTCTCAAGGTAAAAGCTAGATTTTTTTAAAGCTCTTTTCGGAAAGATTCACCAATCCATGGAAGATTTCGATACAGACCGTAGGATGCAGATGATTAAATGAAATCGGTCTCCATTTACACCACATTGATTCTGATTACTTTTGGCTAATGCTGCTAGCTAAAGTAGCACCCTTACTGCTTTCCTTTTTTAGCTAGAGGCAAAAGAAGAATTTGATGTGAAGTTACACCACATGTTCAATTCGATATTATGTGAAAAACCGACAGCTTTAGCGAACAATCTTAAAACAAAATCTCAAAACTGCTTCTCTTCTTTTCCTTTCTCAGAAAATGGTAATTTTCTTGGTCTTTCACCTGAGCTTAAGCTCGCCATCCATCTGGTTTATGATGGATTTACACTTTCACAATAAGATCATCAAGTACTAAGCCGAACTTAAAATGAAACGCGTTGACCTTTTCTATTCCGATGACATGGAATCACACTTTCCTCGTGCATAAGTTTCGAATGTGTACTACTTCATTTAATCTCATAAATCAAGTAAAGTATGAACCGAAATGAATAGAAATGTCTGATTAAAAGAGTTCATGCAATACTTTTACTCGAGAAGACAGTATTCTGATTTTTATTACGTTGATCATACAATACGAGAGACTAAAATCATAAATTCTCTTGAATTGGGCACAAAAAAACTCCTTGTCAACAAAATTCGATTGATTAGTAATTGATTGCTCCCAACATTATTAAAACTATACCATTTTCATGGGACAGGAGTTGCTGTTATAATGTGAAAAAGTCACTAGTTTCCACCCTTCAATGTTTACCTGCTTATTCCACTGATTTTTATTGAGAACCGGGAAAATAATTTATAATGTCAAAGGTGGCAGAGAGTCGTGGGTGACCTGGACCTTTTTGTGCAAGCTCTTTTGGGTTGGTCATCTGAGCAATAATCATTAGAAAAGGTAAAGAGGACCACATGACATGCTTATAATAATGTCTTGTCTTGGTTCTCTAAATCCCGGTGCTGCTATGTTGATTGCCTGATGGCCAATGGGACTACTCTGGCTCTGAACAGTATTATGTGCAGAATAGAGTGAGACTTCCCATAGGCCAATCAGGATAAATTCCCCTCCTTGTTTTGGAAAAAAAAGAAGGGAAATGTGTATTACTGATTGCACCATCATGAATTGCGTGCATTATTCACTCAAAGGTATTTCACATCACATAAAATATACATGATTAAAAAAAAATTATGTGAATTGAGCTTACCTAAATCGAAATTTAGTAGACATCTCTATTCAATATTAGAAGCCCACTAAAAGAATTTGTTGAGTCATTTTTGTTATTATTCATACGATTCTATTTAGAAGCTTTTATCTTCTTCCTTTAATATATGTACCTAATATAAAACATGAAAATTTTGACTTGTAACTTGATTGGGTCCTTCTTCCTCAAAAAACATTATAAAAATCATTAAGTGGAAAAGAAATTTTAAGCAATAAATCTCGAGCAAATGCTTAAAATTAGTGTGAAAATTGCTTTATGAGATGATATTCTAATTGATTCTCCAATCTCAAGGGAAATGAACTGAATTGTACTCCTTAGAGAAGTACCAATTTCACTTTCTAAATCTGGCTCTAATCCGGCCTTTCTACCAATCTTCATTGTAGCGATTGTTTGGCACTAAGATTATTGCTAGCATTTAGCAAACTTAGTTGAAAAGGATGGTGCCCCACCATTTGTTCGCACAAAATTATTTCTGGTCCCCACCCACTTACACAACCAATTTTCCATCAAACATGAACAAATTTTTGGAAAAGAAAAAAAAATTTCATCAACTTTAAATTTTTCTTTTCCGGTGAATGACAAAAATGTCCACTTTTCCTTCTCACAATGGAGCAGCTTTTTCTCTGCAAGTTGCATCAGCAACAGCACTTTTGTCTACTTTATACTTAAATTTTAATGATCTTTTCCTTGAGTTTCTTTAGGACCACCAACCTGATTTCCATGTCCTACAACTCGTGGTTCTAAGAGTAAGCAATGGGGCAGGTTCACTTGGGGAACTGAAAGGAACTAGCCTTTACTCGATCGGTTCCAAACTGATTCACATGAAAATTGGATAGATTCCTGGGTAAAAAAGTGAAAATCAACCTTGACTGGTTTGGTTTCTAATTTTATATGGTAAATCGTTGGTTATGCTCGAGAGCTAGCCTTTCACGAGTAGAGCCGTTTTTTAGCACTTTTGTTTTTTATTTCGTTTAAGAAAAATATATATGTGTGGGAAATTGGTTTTGAATCATGGAAGTTTAGAAAATTCATCAGTACGTTTACCATTATGCCTTTGACAAGCTAGGTTTTTAGATTTTTTATGTAGAATCTACCCACCCAAGAATCAATCACCCTCTACATGGCTTCATTTCCTCTCCAATCTCTCTTCAACATTTTCTTGATTTTATTATTCTCCTTTTGTAAATTTTTGTTCCATGCATTAGCAATTTGAATTAAATATGAACATAAGGAAAGGAGGAAAAAGAAAAGGTTGGTGATTAGGTGAAGCTCTCGGGTTGGACCCCAGAAATCTGACAGTAATCTCAGGTAAGGGCTTTAGATACATGCCAAGACTAAAAGGAAAAATTTGAGAATTGGAGGAAGTGGTATGCTTCTGGCCAACAAGAAGGTCCAGACCATGGCAATTTCAAACAAAAGAAAATGGAAAATCTCAGTGGGTTACATTCTTATAAAAGGTATTTGGTGAAAAGTGGCTGCTGGGAAATACCAAACAAGAGCACTAATTAGTGCTGTTGATGTGAGTGCTTAGTGTGTTGGGTTGTGTACTTTCGGTGCTATTCCTTGTCATGGAATTTTGTTTGTTGGTGTCAAGGATTTTCCATTTCTGAAAAAGGAATGACTTCTGAGGAGAGGATTTACAGAATGCTGTCTCTTTTGAGATCTTGAGGCTCTGGAAATTTTTTCTAAATTAGTACTTGAGAGTTTACCCAATTGCTTCGTACCCTTTCCTGATGCTTTGAATAGCTATCTTTTTCAAGCTAAACAAACAAGTAAACGACTTGAAAGCCCTTGCTCATCAATCCCAAACTACCCCTCAAATTAATCATATTATTCTAGTTTTCTCTTGAGCCTTCCATAGAATTTATCAAGATACTGGTATTTTTTTCCTTCATACTCAAAGCAAGAAAAAGGGCAAAGAGATGTCACGCATCGGTGATTTTTGGAGAACAAGTTCGCACATTGATTTTTTTTTTCTAGCCTTTAACCTCTAATACTCTAAAGTTTAGGCAGTTAGATCAATCACGAATCGGCCGATTTATCTATATAGGACCAGCACGGATTTGGTTTATATCGAATTAGATTTATATTGATTCAAAAACGAAACTAGCACAAACATGAATTTGGTTTCCAATTTCATCAAGATTCAAGTGTATACTGCCCTATGTAGGAAAACTCACTCATATTTGGTTTGCATCTTACCTCCTCCGGGAGGTTAGTGCGCTATGTGACAGGCCTTGGGACTTAGGGTTGAGCAAAAAAGTCCGAAAGCCCTAAACGGAGCAGCATGAATAGGCCCGAGTCGAGATTTCGGGCAGGTCCAGGCCTTCAATACAGAGACGCTCACTCCTGAAATGGCCCAGACTATTTTTAAGATAAAATTTAAAAAATAAAAAAATGAAATTTACATCATTTATACTGGAAACACTTTATTAGACTCATAAATTAGTTAAAAAACAACTATATAGAAAAGCTATTTTTTGAAACCGAAAATATAACAATGATCTTATTTTTTATTTTTTTAAGAAAACAACTAAAAAAATATTCTGGCTAGGCCTGAGCCAACCCGGTCTACTTCGACGCGAGACATTTAAAGTCGGGCTGGGCCAAAAACATTGAGGCCCGGCCTGCCTAGCCAGTGCTCACCCTCACTCGGGCTTACCTATTTAGGCAGCCTTCCTTGGCATAAGTAAACAATCATAGTTGGGCAAAAAACATAGGGCATAAGCTGTTGCTCAATCCTCAATGATCCATGCTGACCAATATTGTAGGATCCCTCTGCTGGGCTAGTGCGTCCATAGATTTTTTCTTGTGTGAAACATTTTTGTTTCTCGTTCGATTTCTCCTTATCGTGCCTGAATCTTTATACTCTTATTATTCTCTAATTCTTTTCAATAATCCACGGACACCGGCACATAGACCCGATTACCTGGAAATCCACATAACACTTTGCAAATCTCGTGAACCGATCAAATCCAGGCCTTTAACCTTTATAGCTGACCCTACTAGGAACTATTTTTGCACCCCATTTGGCGACCATTTTCCCCACGCATTACCACGGTTTCTTCAAATTTTTACATAGAAAACTAAAGTCATCTAATGGATGCGGCGTTCTTTCTTATAAAATCACAAGATCATTCTCATGGCAGGGTCTTGAAACATATTCTAATTTCTAGTTGGGCTTCTTCTGTTATTTTACTCTTCTTGAGGCCCAAAGAAGTTTAGCTCTCCCAAGTTGCAACTATAACGGGTTCAGATATTATGGGCATCACTCTCAAGTGGGAAAGAGTCGTTGCATTAACCGGCCTCACTCTCAAGAGGCAACAATGTGATTCATTGTATGTTCTTTTCCACTTAATAAGACTCTGATTTTCATAATAATTACTTTTTTCCCGTCAATTAAAAGATTCGCCTTTTAGGCTGCGCATGGCAACTTGCCAAATAGTATTTGATTCTGTTCTTTTGTTCCCAGAATCAGTTTGGGAATAGAAATCCGTTTGTTTAATTTATTGATTGGGCACAAATTCTTGCAAATTTGTGCCTGAATCGCTTTGAACGAGAATCAAGAATAAAAAAAAAGCGACTTCTTGATTCTAAACAAAAATGAGAATCAGGTTTTTTTTTCTTCT